GGCAGAGTCATTAGTACCTGGCTCTTTAGGCATTCTCTTGATGTCTCAGGCTCCTCATATAAGATGAGGGAGGCTGGCAGGCTCCCTCAGGCTCACTGGATGGTTCTGAGTTTACATGTAGCCTTTTGGGGTCACTGTTACTAGCATCCTGCTGTCTAATCTAAAGCTCTGCTGCTATAATTTACTCCCTGGAAGGTCCAAATCTGATCTTAGTCAAGTGGGACCCCCCATCACCCCCACTCCCTAAAGTGTGCTATGACTAGACACCCTCAGTCTGTTCCTTTCTGCCTCAGCTTCAGCCCTTGGTGGAGGGAGTGTGAGGAGCCAATTTGGCCCTGGAGAGGTTAAGCGCTTTCCCCAGAGCCCAGGCAAGCCTGAACTGGCCTGTAGGGCCCTGCTAAGCTGCCCCATTACCACAGGTAAGGATTATAATCAGAAAGCACTCGAGGGGCTCAGGCCCACGTGGGAGAAAGAGACGAGCTGTTGATTTTATTCCAGAGCTTAATTGGTATAATTGCTCTCTTCCTCCTGCCAAACCAGAGTCAGAATTGGCTCTCTCACCTGCCGATGGGGAGATGCTCAGAAAGATCTATGTCTCAAGTGGTGGATTCTACTGATCAGAGGATCCTTCAGCCCCTCTGTATCCCCAGATTGTGGGGGAGTGAGGGCCTATCACCACAGAGGACTGAGGACGTCAGGGTAGCCTCAACTTTGGCTCAAAGGGGCTGAGAGGGTTCCTTTGGAAATCTGGGTAAGCCAAGAGTAGGAGGGATTTCTCTGCAGCCAGGATGTTGACCAGAGGAGTTCCCAAGTGCCAGAGGACCCCGGGGAGGGGGGAGCATACTCAGTAACAAGGGAAAAGGGGGCACAAGTGGCACACGCCTGTAATCCTAGCTACTCAGGAGGCTGAGATCTGAGGATTCAAGGGTCAAAGACAGCCCAAGCAAGAAAGTCTATGAGACTCTTATCTCTGATCAACCACCAGAAAACTGGAAGTGGAGCTGTGGCTCAAAGAGATAGAGCACTAGCCTTGAGTGGAAAAAGCTCAGGAACAGTGCTCAGGCCCTGAGTTCAAGCCCCATGACTAACAAAAGGAGAGGGTGGCCAAAAGGACTCTTTCTTCCTTCCTCCTCAAGTTGCCTCCTGTCTGGGCTTTTAGAGCATCACCTCTAAGGGGTCTCATAGCCAAAGCCACCAGGACCTACTAATGTCAGGCGCTCCATTTCTCTCTGGGGTCCCCAGATCCCTCTGGACAGGTTCTTTATTAGGAGAGGAGGAAAAAGAGAATGGCCCAGGTTAACCATGCCACAGGCTGAAGGAGGAAATCTGGGGCCAGGCTTGGTGATGCTTAAAGGATCCCCACCTGGAGCAGATATAATATTAATGTAAAATAAAAGATATATATCTTGCATGGGACCCACTTCTACTAAGAAGTTATTTTTAATTCATCTGAAATTCAGACTTCACTAGGCATTGTCCCATTGCACGGGACATGTTTATGCTAAAGGTTATTTGTTATATAAAATTCAAATAATTTGAATTTGATTTCTTAAATGTATGTATTTTTTTTTTGGTCGGTCATGGGGCTTGAACTCTGGACCTGGGCTCTGTCCCTCAGCTCTTCAGCTCAAAGCTAGTGCTCTACCACTTGAGCCACAGTGCCACTTTCCAGTGTTCTGTTGGTTAAGTAGAGATAAGAGTCTCATGAACTTTACTGCCTGGGCTGGCTTTGAACCATGATCCTCAGATCCCAGCCTCCTGAGTAGCTAGGATTACAGATGTGTGCCTGGCTTAAATGCGTGTATTCTTATTCACTATATTCATTAACACTAGATCCACGAATATTACCCAGCCCACCCCATATTCAGCTGGCCTGAGTGGAAGGCTAGGATACCCTGCTCACCACAAACACAAATGCATGTCAATAAATAGCCTCATTCCCTTCACTGATGGGGTTCCCAGAATCTCAGAAGCTATGACCCCAGCTTTGGGCTGGTCTGTGACCTCCATGGGGCCCCGCCCTAGGGAGCAGTCCTTATCCTGAAGCCCTGCTTCAACCTCAGTCGCTTACACAGTTAGAAGCGCTGTTTAGAGAATGCAAACTTACCATGCTCTAAGAGGGTGCCTTAGGTCAAGTCATTTTTTTTCACAAGCAGAGAGGTTGACAGTGGGCAAATAAGGAAAAAAAAGAAGTATAAAGAGGTCAAATATCAGGGAGGCAGCAGAGCAGGGATTCCAACCCCGACAACCCAGCTCCAAAGTATACACCCCTGCCCATCCTGCCACGAGGCTGGCATACTCCACAAGGCCACCGATTTCTACACCAATCTGGAATACCTCACCCCACACCTCAGCAGTCTCTGGCACTTGCACACCTGCCTGGCCACCCATTGAGGAGGCCTAGGGTTAAGTCTCCTGGCTTCATCATGCTGACCCCACACTCCCATTTCATTCCAGCAGGGAACGTCACAGCCCTTCCCTTCTTTGCTTGCTCCACAATACATGGTCCAGGAAACCACTGGCGTCAGCACCACCTGGACCTTGTTAGCAATGCAGAATCTTAGGTCCCTCCTACCCCAGACTTACTAAAGTAGAACCTGATTTTGGATGATGATGTTGTTGTTTTGAGAGAGGAATCATGCTACGTAGACCAGACTAGCCCTGAACTCCTAATCTTCCTGGCTCAGATTCCTAAGTGTGACACCATGTTAGCCATGACCCATAGGTGATTTCACTGCTTCATATGCACATTCATGTCTTAAAGCACTGAGTCTTCCAGATACTGACCACAGATAGCTGGGTAAGAGAACAAGATGGAATGAGGGGGTGGAAGGTCATTTCTCTTGTGGTCTAGTGCTCAGTGGGTCCTAGGAGACCTTGCTCTTAGACTGGATCATCAATGATCAGAAGATGGGGACTCAACCTCACCCTGGTTATATGAAAGACAATGTGTCACAGCAGATGCTGTGTTCAGTGCTGGATTCCAAGCATCTAGCTCAGGGCCTAGTTGAGGGATGACCCTCGGGCAGTGATTTTGAATAAATGTCTGAATGAGAGCCCTTTGAATCCCCTGTTCCGAAGTCCCAAACTGACAGCCTGAGCAAGAACAGCAAGGAAGGTGGGAGAGGCTATCCTGTCTCTACAAGAACATACCCAGACTTCTCCTGGCCTGGGGAGGCTATCTTGGGGACACAGCATCAAGGTCTCAGCTTTCCCTAGGGCCATAGACACACCTCAGAATTCTGTTTAGCACCAGGCAGAAGGTCCCTTTGAGATAGCCTTCTTCAATGAAGGCAGGATTTGAACAAGGAGGAGGAGGAAATGGGGTATCACAAATGCTGTTGTTGAGATAGAAAAACCTAAGTGCTGGTGTGCATGGAGGAAGTGGGCAGATGTAGATATCTTTATGAGGTCAGACGGATAAGTCCTAGCAACCCACTAGAGGTGGGGGTCAGGGAGGGGCAGGGGCCTGGCTGGTCTAACAGGTCTGGGCATTGACATTTGTAACTGCCAAACTGATGGGTAAATTTACAGAGCCACGATGTCTGACTCCCTGTGGGGAATGCTGGAAGCCTTGGGCTGCAAGCAGTTCTAAGTGACAACCATGATACCAATAATAATCACTGTTTCCATTTGCTGAGCAGCAGTTGTCATATGCTGGGCACAGGGCCAGGTACAAGTAGGTGGCCTCTGAGCAGCATCCCGAGTGGCTCTCTCATTTAACAGAGATCACGCTGCCAAGGTCACACAGCTAGTGAACCAAAGAGCTGGGATTCAAAGCCAGCTTCTCTGACACCAAAATCCATGTGCATGCCCAGTGTGATGACATAGCTCCTTTAGTGTGCTCATCCTATCTTCTCCGTTTACCAGTTTTCTCACACATAAGCCTGTCTCTGCCCTCAGTGCCTGCCCCACAGGGTGAATAGGGTTCAGTCTAAGTCCCAGACAGAGACATTGTGTATTGATAGAATATCACATGACTTGGGCACACAGTTAAAAAGTTAAGGTGGCAATCTCCTTGTTTTGCTAGGCTACCAGCATCTTGTAGCGCTCAGTCAGAAGTTATTGTGTCAGCCTGGAATCTCTGTGCATAGACACAGTCATACCATCTGTTCACCTGTTCTGACAGGCAGTGATCAAGAGTTTCATCTGTGGCATGCTGGCACCTCCCATAGGTCATTGATTCAGCCAGGAATTCACTCCAGGAATTGAGTAGGATCTCCACAAAACTACTGGTCCTCGCGAGGACAAGAAATGGGAGGTGCTAGCAGTGTGTGACAGAGTGGCCTACATCTTTATTAGGATCACAAGGATATTTTCCTATGTTAATACTGGAGACAAGTCTGTTTACATGGCCTTGGAGTGGACAGGAGTGGGAAAGACAGTGTCACACATGGAACAGAGGAGCTCTAGAAGAGATTTGGAAGCTTGGTGGGATGAGGAGTACTGCTTATCCTCAAAGGAGCCATGGGTCTAATCTGTGTGAGTGTGGGTGTGCACACATGTGTATGTGCACGTACTGGGGCTGAACTCAGGGCCTGGGGCACTGTCTTTTATCTTTTTCAATCCAAGCTGGTATTCTACCACTTGAGCTACTCCTCTACTTCTGCCTTTTTGCTGATTCATTGAAGATAAGAGTATGATGACCTTTTCTGCCAGGGCTGGTTTTGAACCTTGATCCTCAGATCTCAGCTTCCTGAATCATGAGGATTATAGGCAGGCATGAGCCACCAGCACCTGGCATGAGGGGCCAATCTTGAGTCTGAGAGGAAAAGCTGGGGTCATAAACAGGAATGTGTGGCATAAGGGGGTCTAGAATTATGGGTTGGAATGGAGACCAGATGTGTGAATTTGAAGGGTAGGGTGAGTAATACATGGGACTCAAGTCACAACTTTAGTCTCTGGCAGTTCACAGGCTTCATTAGGGGGCTGGCTGGCCCTGCCCACTCTGAGCTTGATCTACCCGTGCCTGGATTGACCCTTCTCTTCTCTTCCACCAGGCGTCTAGATGCCAACCTCATCTCCCTGGTCCCGGAGAGGAGCTTCGAGGGGCTGACCTCCCTCCGCCACCTCTGGCTGGATGACAATGCGCTCACAGAGATCCCTGTCAAGGCCCTCAACAACCTGCCTGCCCTACAGGCCATGACCCTAGCCCTCAACCACCTCCACCACATCCCAGACTACGCCTTCCAGAACCTCAGCAGCCTTGTGGTGCTGTGAGTATTGATGTGACCCTGTTGTTGGTGGGGTCCTGTGGGGGAGGGAGGACTGGAGGCTGCATGTCTTCTCTTGGATAGGAAGCCTGGCTAGCTTTGCTCCCTCCTGCATGTTACCAAACCTATTCAGTTTGATGAGGATGACTGCCCCCTGTTGATCCCACAGGATTATCTTGAAGCTAGATGACATTTGACTTATAGAAGTGCTCAGAGAGGCACGAAAGGACTATATAATCAGAAGCTAGGAATTCAATTAAGGTGTTATTTTTCTCATTATGTAAATATAACAATACCATACTAATTGGAATATAAATCAAGAGTTTCTTAAATAATTTCTATCGTATTTGACCATCAAATGATACAGTCATGTGCTTTGGCATAAGGATAGGATAAATTCACCTCATTCCTCAGGCCTAAAGTAGTAGAAAAAGCCATCACATGTAATTAGGCAGTAAACCTCCATCAGGGTAATTACCTGGGAGATAGCATCCCTGGCAGCAGTAGGGACTGGAGTTAACTCTGCCTTCTCAGTGGGAACTTTAGAGTGCAAATTAGCTTCCAGCTAATTGCTATGAATGATTGGTAAGTTCATAGGGTAATTACCAAGGGCTTACAGGTCATGTGTAATTGCTTTAGGTTACATACTAATTGTTGCAGAACCATGGCTCAAGAACATACGTGTTAGTGACTTTGCTTAAGTGGTAGCATTGCCTTTCCTGCTCTGGGAAATCTAGTGAGATTTTCCAATCTAGGGAATGGACAATGCTTAGTTCCACATAAGCAATGAAAAGGCAGACACCAGTATTGTTTGTATAATGAAGTCCTGGGATCTTGGTGAACCAATACAAAGATCATACGGAGCACAGTCCTCTCCATCCTTCTGGAAGTCAGTGCGGGTATATGTAGAAAGCCAACAGAACAAGGTGTTTTTAGCATTGGTGATATGGCCTATGACATCATGACAGAATAGGGTCGGATCTTTATAAGGAACACGACTACTGGGAAAGTAAGAATTTCATGATACGAGGGAAGCATCAGGCACTTACAGAGCCCTTAGCACTGCAGGTCCCAGGATGACCCAGTCCTTTTGCCCTGGAACGGCTTGCCATTTAGTTCAAATGGCAGAATTGTGGGAAAGGTAACTCAGGCTGTTGTGTTACTCCTGCAAACATAACCAGGTGAGAAGTCTGCGTTCATATAGTATGGGAGAATTGGAGAGGCCTAACAGGTGAGGGAGAGGGAGGTTTTCACCTGAAAAGATGGCAGAGCTGGACAAGCAAAGAGAAAGACAGTTTTAAGACATGGAGGGGAAGTCAGGAGTGGTTGAGAATGGGCCAGTCCAGCTGGAACTGAGAGTCCTCATGCAGAGGGTGGGAGAAGAGTCTGGAAAGGAGAGTTTGGGGACTCACAGTGGCAGAACAAGGATCTGACTTTGGCCTGCCAGTGGAGGAAGGGATGTGGAGGTTTTCTTTTCTTTTCTTTTCTTTTCTTTTGGGTCCGGTCGTGGGGCCTGAACTCTAGGCCTGGACGCTGTCTCTCAGCTCTTCAGCTCAAGGCTAGCGCTCTACCACTTGAGCCACAGTGCCACTTCTGGCTTTTTTTCTTTTTGCTTATGTGGTGCTGAAGAATCGAACCCAGGGCCTGAGGCTTGCAAGGCAAGCGCTCTACCACTGAGCCACCTTCCCAGCCCATGGATGTGGAGGTTTTCAAGTGAGAGTGAAAAGGGAGAATTGTAGGAAGGTGAATGGATGGGGGAAGGAAGGAGAGATGGGGGTGGGGAGACAGGAAGATCAGTTTGGAGGCTCTACATGTCAGCGTAGTGAGGCAGCAAAATGGAAGACAGGATTGTGAGAGGGATGTTTTAAAAGAAGAATTCATCTGTTTTAGAGGTTTCATATGGTGGAAGATCAAGAATAACAAGGAGTCATGGATGCTTTAAAGGTTTCATTAGAAGGGGGAGTTAGCCTACAAGTAAGGCTGTTGCAGATGTGAGGCCTGGGCGACCCATCGGGAATGAAGAAGAACAGGGACTAAGCAGGGGTGGGAGGAAACTACCAGCACAGGAACAAATCTGGGACAATGAATCCCTTTACATAAGGCTAGAAACATCACCCTTTTGTCCCTCACACGTGAGACAGAAGAAGGAAGGTTCCAGAAGGAAATTACCATGAAGAGGAAAGGAGTCTGAGGAACATTATCCAGGGACAGCTGGTGAGCTGTAGGGAGACCTAGGAGACAGATTGGGAAGACTGGGCTGGACAGGAAGCAAGAAAGAATTTCGGTT